GCTTCGTTTTTGCAGTGGCTGGTACCGGTTTTTCTTTTCCATATTTAGTGCTTCCTTCAGGGGTTCTTGTAAGGCAGGCCTGGTGGTGACAAAATCCCTCAGCATTTGCTTGTCTTTAAAGGATTTTATTTCTCCTTTGCTTATGAAGCTTAATTTGGCTGGATATGAAATTCTGGGTTAAAAACTCTTTTCTTTAAGAATGTAGAATATTGGCCCCCCACTCTCTTCTGGCTTCCAGGGTTTCTTCAGAGAGATCCCCTGTTATTCTGATGGGCTTCCCTTGTGGGTAACCCGACCTTCCTCTGTGGCTGCCTTTAACATTTTTTCCTTTATTTCAACCTTGGTGAATCTGACGATTGTGTGTCTTGGGGTTGTTCTTCTCAAGGAGTATCTTTGTAGTGTTCTCTTATTTCCTGAATTTGAATGTTGGCCTATGTTGCTAGGTTGGGGAAGTTCTCTTGGATAGTATCCAGAAGTGGTTTTCCAACTTGGTTCCATTCTCCCCGTCACTTTCAGGTACACCAAACGTAGTCCCGTATTTCTTGGAGGCTTTGTTCATTCCTTTTCATTATTTTTTCTCTAATCTTGTCTTCTTGCTTTATTTCATTGAGTTGATCTTCAATCTCTGATATCCTTTCTTCAGCTTGCTCGATTCGGCTATGATACTTGTGTATGCTTCACGACGTTCTCATGCTGTGTTTTTCAGTTCCATCAGGTCATTTATGTTCTTCTCTAAACTGTTTATTGTAGTTAGATATTCCTCTAACCTTTTGTCAAGGTTCTTAGCTTCTTTGCATTGGGTTAGAACATGCTTCTTTAGCTCAGAGGAGTTTGTTATTACCCATCTTCTGAAGCCTACTTCTGTCAATTTGTCAAACTCATTATCCGTCCAGTTTTGTTTCCTCGCTGGCAAGGAGTTGTGATCCTTTGGAGAAGAAGAGGCATTCTGGTTTCTGGCATTTTCAGCCTTTTTGCACAGGTTTTTCCTCATCTTCGTGGATTTATCTAGCTTTGGGCTTTGCTGTTGGTGACCTCTGGATGGAGTGTTGGCTTGGTCATCCTTTTTTTTCTTGATGTTGATGCTATTGCTTTCTGTTTGTTAGTTTACCTTATAACAGGCTCCTCTGCTGCAGGTCTGCTGGAGTTTGCCGGGGGTCCACTCTAGACCCTGTTTTCCTGGGTATCACCAGCAGAGGCTGAAGAATAGCAAAGACTGCTGCCTGTTCCTTCCTCTGGAAGCTTTATCCCAGAGGGTACCTGCCAAATGCCAGCCAGAGCTCTCCTGTATGAGGTGTCTGTCGACCCCTGCTGGGGGGTGTCTCCCTGTCAGGAGCCTCAAGGGTAAGGGACCCCCTTGAGGAGGCAGTCTGTCACTTAGCTGAGCTCAAGCGCTGTGATGGGAGATCCACTGCTCTCTTCAGAGCCAGCAGGCAGGAACGTTTAAGTCTGCTGAAGCTGTGCCCACAGCCGCCCCTTCCCCCAGGCACTCTGTTCCAGGGAGATGGGAGTTTTATCTATAAGCCTCTGCCTCTGATTGGGACTGCTGCCTTTCTTTCAGAGATGCCCTGCACAGAGAGGAGGAACCTAGAGAGGCGGTCTGGCTATCATGGTTTTTTGGCACTGTGGTGGGCTCCACCTAGTCTGAACTTCCCAGTGGCTTTTTTTACACTGTGAGTGGAAAACCACTTACTCAAGTATCAGTAATGGTGGACGTCCCTCCCCCTACTAGGCTCGAGTGTTCCCCGTTGACTTCAAACTGTTATGCTTGCAGTGAGAATTTCAAGCCAGTGGATCTTAGCTTGCTGGGCTCCGTTTGGGTAGGATCCACTGAGCAAGACCACTTGGCTCCCTGGCTTCAGCCCCCTTTCCAGGTGAGTGAATGGTTCTGTTTCTCTGGTTCCAGGTGCCACTGGGGTACAAAAAACTCCTGCAGCTAGCTTGGTGTCTGCCCAAATGGCTGCCCAAGTTTGTGCTTGAAACCCAGGACCCTGGTGGTATAGGCACCCAAGGGAATCTCCTGGTCTGCAGGTTGCGAAGCCTATGGGAAAAGCGTAGTATCTGGGCTGGATAGCACAGTTACTCATGGCACAGTCCCTCATGGCTTCCTTTGGCTAGTGGAGGGAGTTCCCCAAGCACTTGAGCTTCCCGGGTGAGGCAACACCCCACCCTGCTTCTGCTCACCCTCTGTGGGCTGCACCCACTGTATAACCAATCCCAGTGAGATGAACCAGGTACCTCAGTTGGAAATGCAGAAATCACCTGCCTACTGTGTTGGTCTCACTGGGAGCTACAGACCAGAGCTGTTCCTATTTGGCCATCTTGCCTGGGAATCAACCAGTTTAAATTCTTTTAAACATTTACTTAGAAAAACAGAAGCTCTAACAGCGAAGACAGAAAACAAACATGTATATAGGGGTCCTCTATAACCACAATTCAAATGTCTGAGAGAGGGCTTCACAGGTTCCGAAGCATTTACATTATCTTCTCCAAAGCTCACAATAGCTTTATGAAGTAGAAAGACGTCATTATTTTCTTTTGAAGTTAAAGAGGCCCCTAGAGGTAAATAATTTGTGAATAAAATTTCATGCTGGTGAGGAGCAGAATGGCAACTGGAATTTAGGTCTTTAGGCTTATTGATAAACGCTTCCAATTTTTCACTTTGAAAATGTGTTAAAAAATACTTGAAAAACTAAGAACTTGAACTTCTTTAAATAATTCTCTAAAATGACACACAACTACTTAAATATAGTAAATATTCTTAGGTTTATGTTTTTATTATGTAAAGAATAAATACTTCAAGGACAAATAAGTTCAGGTGTCATCCTTAAGTCCGAAAGCCATTTATTAAAAGACAAAGTGGAGGATGATGGGAGACAGCAGGCAGGGAAAAATGGGAAAAGACCACAGCATTTCCTTATTATGGATATTCAGAAAATATTCAGAAGAACCTCGAGCCCCTGGACAGCTAACAAAGTTCTAAGGGCTTTACTCTTTCAAAAAGCCTAGAATTTTATCTATACCATCCTATCATACACATACGTATTTACTTCAGATCTTCTGTATAATTTATAAAGCCCTAAAGTTCTTAGAAATAGCTTTTAATGATTATAGAAATGCTTTAGGAAGTATGATAGCTTATTCAATTCGCTTTTTGTAAAAAGATTGTTCTGAACTTCCTACTGCTATCAAATCTTTTTAGGGGAAATGGAGCACATATTCATTTAAATTATCTTCTTATTTTAGTTTACTGGGCTCTTTAATCAATAAAATAAATTTTTACTTTTGTTATCCTTTCTGTCCCATTCCACTACTGAGTTCAGCTTGACTAGAACTTTTTTCTATTGTCTATACCAGCACTTCCCAAAGTGGGTACCAAGGATCACTAGTGATAGAGCGAAGAAGCGTTAATGCAAACAAACAAAAGTAAAGGGAATTTTGCTAAACAATGCATAAAAAATTCCTGTCTTGGAAAGTCACAAAGGATACTAACATATAAAAAGCTTTAGAAATCCCATACCATGTTTAATTTTGCTTAATCCATTCTCACCAAATTTTTATTTTATCAGCCCCATTATAACAAGAAAAATCTTGCATTACCAAACTGGCTACATTGCAACATTTTCAGTGAAACCCAACTCAGTATAAATCACATAACATGATCATAAAGTCCAACATGCATCTTAGTGACACATATATAAGGTTGCCTAGATCTTGCCAGACAGTGTTTCTTTGAGGAAAGGGGAACATTTAACATGATTTTCAGTTAGAGAATTATCGGTTTATTTTTTTTCTTTGAAGGAGCTTCCTGGCCAATCAAAGCTCCAACCAGACAAGTTAAGGCCTAGATTTACTACACAGGTATAAAAAACTAAACACAGAGCTAATATCAGTTTAATACCTTTTATCTTTAAATGCTAGTTTCTCCAATTGGCTTCTCCAAATTATATCATCCTCTGTTTTATTGAAGAATATCAGCTTCACTTTCCTTAAAAGAAAAACAAAAACTCAGAAATAACTAATTAATTACATGTAAAATATGCACAAATGGCCAGTCTAAAGTGAACCAGTGTGAATGTTTTAGTGCCCAGTAGGTAATTAAAAATCATCAAAAACTGAAATGAGATAAAATAACCTACTTAATACCTAGGATTAGAGGAGGCAGAGTAAGAAATGATGAATGAGGAAATGGTAACATGTCTATTAAGGTCCAGTGAGTAATCAACTTAGAATACCTTATACTAATATAACAGCCTCAAAAAGGATAGTAATTAAAGACAAAATTACATACCTGAGACTGGGTATATCAGTCAAAGCATAATTCAGTATTTTAACCATTGGAGTGAAGCCTGTTCCAGCTGCCAACAAAAAGAGATCTTCTAATTCTTGGAACTTGGATATTTTAAAATTGCCCTCAGGACTGCTTACAGAAACAAAATCTCCTAAACAATGAAATACAAACTAAATCAGAAAAAAAACACAAACAAAACAAAAAACCCAGCCGGGAAATTAAGAAGCCAAAAGTAACTGAATTTAAAACACTAAGGAGTAACAGTATAAATACTTAACTTGCAGACTATGTATCAGTCTTTAAGATAAATAAGTAGTCTTAAGGATACTCATTAGGCCCCTAAGTATGTCTGAATTATATCATTACAGTCAAATTAATAATGAGGTTTTATGGTATAATTTCCCACCACTATTTTCCCAAACCATCAGAAGTCTGAAATTTACAAACTACTGCAAAGTACTTATCCACAAATTATCAATAAAGGATTGATTGCTAAACTAAATTTTAAGTACCTCAAAAGCAGAGTCCACATATATCTGTCTTACATGGTACAGAGTAAAGAATAGATATTCACTATTTACATATTGATTATTAACCATAGTAACAGGATTAGTAGGAGAGAAAATTGAAATAGAAATGTATTCTAAAATCTTATGTTGATAAATATACCAACTTCTCTTCCACCAAATTTTTGAAAAGACCTATTAATTAAGAAAGGCTGTTCTGAGTTTAATTCCCATAAAAACAAAGCAAGATCAGAAATGCAGTCAACTATACTTAGAGCATGCCACTTTCCAATCTAGCATCAACACATTTGAGAAATCAGTGCCCATTTTCTACAGTCCAGCTGATATAATCACCATGTACCATTCATATAAGAAAATTATCTTTAGGACTAGATTCAGAAACTTGAAATGTAATCTTAAAAATGAAAAATAAAGCTGTGTATAATTTTTGAATGATTTAAAATACTCTATTTTAAAATGCTTGGATGCTCACAATTTTTCCTTTGTTTTCCATTGCAGGATAGTAAGAATCTTGCAGTAGTTGATGAAGTAAGTATTTGAAAACAGGGCTGGGCGTAGTGGCTCACGCCTGTAATCCCAGCACTTTGGGAGGCCAAGGCAGCACTTTTGAGGTCAGGAGTTCAAGACCAGCCTGACCAACATGGAGAAACCCTGTCTCTACTAAAAACACAAAAAATTAGCTGGGCATTGTGGCACATGCCTGTAATCCCATCTACTCGGGAGGCTGAGGCAGGAGAATTGCTTGAACCCAGGAGGCAGAGGTTGCTGAGGCAGGAGAATCGCTGGAACCCAGGAGGCGGAGGTTGGGGTGAGCCGAGATCGCGCCATTGTACTCCAGCCTGGGCAACAAGAGCAAAACTCCGTCTCAAAAAAAAAAAAAAAAAAATAGAAGCTCCTTGTTATAGTTTGAAAAACACTGTAAGATTAGAATGTCCTCAGGAAAGCCAGATGGTTGTTTACTAAAGAAGCCTCAGAGGACAGTATTAACTTGGTAACTTTTACCCACAGCCCAGTCTTTCCAATGCTAACAAAATTGATTAGACTCATGTAAGATAACTGATGCTAATCAAATTCAGAAGAGATTAAAGCACACATGCCAGAATGGCACAGCTGGGGTTACATGTATCTAGTGACCTGAACATTACATGTCCCATTGGGGATATCTTGTTTCCAGTATCAGAACACATGGAAAGCCAAATTAATCATGTAAAATCATGCTGCTTAGTGAACATGGGATTGAAACAGAGATGGATAATTGCATGGGTTCATTCATTTAATGTACAACTCTCTAAGTGACACAAATATTTGTGCCATGTTGAGCCTCCCTAAATGAAGCTGAAATAATACTTCATCTTGTTCTTCGAGCTTTCCCTTTCCACACTCTAGGACAACTCTTCACCCTGCTATGTTTGCAAAAATCTCCATAAATAGGCTGTAATACCATTCCTTAAGTTTCCACTTACTGTATTATAATTGTGTCAGTCCTTCTTTCACAAGGTGACAGTCACCTTCACTAGATTTGTAGGTACTCCAAAATACTTCAGGTTCAAATTCATATAAAATATTTTGGTTTATGTAACCAAGGATGACTAATCATCTCTCTTATGTGAAGTAGATATAATTAGCAGAATCATATCTACTGCATTTCAGAGAGTAATGTAATTTTGTTTATTTCCAAATTTCAGTAATCCACTTCACTGATATCCCAAAATATTGCTAATGCTGCCTTGGAAAGAGGAACACTTTTGCCATTAGGTAAAAAGCAGTGAAAAGAAAATACAGAAAAAGGAGTAAGAGACACCAAAAGGGAGCAGAAGCAAGGAAAGTTTTTAAATCTTAATATCTCATTATAGTTCTTCATTCATTCTTTCAAAGTACCTTTACTGGCTGGGCACAGTGGCTCACATCTGTGATCCCAGCACTTTGGGAGGCCAAGATGGGCCAATCACCTAAGGTTAGGAGTTCAAGACCAGCCTGGCCAACATAGTGAAAACTCATCTCTACTACTTAGTCAGCGTGGTGGTGTGTGCCTGTAATCCCAGCTACTTGGGAGGCTGAGGCAGAAGAATCACTGAACCCAGAAGGCAGAGGTTGCAGTGAGCTGAGATCAAGCCACTGCACTCCAGCCTGGGCGGCAGACCGTCTCAAAAATAAAACAAACAATAAAACAAATAGTTGGTACAAAAATGTACCAACTATTATGTACCAACTGCCATGCCAGGTGTTGGAAATACAAAGATAAGACAATTTCTGCTCCTAAACTCAGTCTTCTAATTGAGGAATATATTTATTCTTATAATAGAGCTATGAACAAACTGTTGTTATTGAGGGTTTCAGGGGAGGAGGAGGGCTCCATAAAGTGATATTCTGTTTGGGTCTTTTTATTTATTTTTATTTATTATTATTATTTTTTTGAGAGTCTCGCTCTGTTGCCCAGGCTGGAGTACAGTGGCATGATCTTGGCTCACTGCAACCTTTGCCTCCCAGGTTTAAGTGATTCTTCTGCCTCAGCCTTCCAAGTAGTTGGGATTACAGATGCCCACCACCATACCTGGCTAATTTTTCTATTTTTAGTAGAAACGGAGTTTCCCCATGTTGGCCAGGCTGGTCTCAAACTCCTGACCTCGAGTGATCTGCCTGCCTCAGCCTCCCAAAATGCTGGGATTACAGGCATGAGCCACCGCACCCAGCCCATGTTTGGATGTTTTTTAAAAAGTACTTGACAGGTAAAGAAAAGGTTGATGGGCATCTTGGGTGTGGCAACTGCATGTAACTGTGAATGAGGATGACAAATCTGTGGAACTCTGAGTAGCACAAGTATTTTTGTATAGCAAGAGATGAAGCTGGAGAGATTATCAATGTCTATGCAGGTCATGCAGTATAGATAATGGGGACCCATCAGAGGTTTCAAAGCTGCAAAGCAGCTAGGGTCAATTGTGAGAAAACAGTTAGAAGCCAACAAAGATATGATGAAGGCTTACTATAAGACAGTGGCAGAAGAGGTAGCTGAAAAAGCCATTGAGATGTATACTCAACAAAATTTAGTGGCTGACTGGACTGGGAGAGAGAAAGTGGGAAGAAACAAGGCTGATTTGAGTTTCCAGATTGGATCAAGGATGAACAGTGATGCTGCAAATAATTAAAACAGGGAATATGGAGGAAGGCCATGCTGGGTGGGACAAAGAGAAGATAACTTTGGTTGTAGACATGTTGAGTTAAAGATATTTGATAGACTCCTACACGGAGATAACGAGAGGGCAATCTGATCCAATCTAGAGCACAAATGAGGTTACAAAAATGTAACAATACTAACCAATCTGAAGACGATCAAGCTCTGGTGTGAAGAGTCCAGTGTGATAGATTTTTATCAAAAAATAGATGTATTTATTGTTGGGAAGAACTGGTTCCTTGAACTCTGAGAGTAAGGAACCAGATACAGGTGTATATGGCTTTACTATTTCTGTACCTAGAAAAAAAAAAATCACAGCAAAAAAATTAAACTCTAAAAATCCAAAAACCTCTTAATGAAGATGAAACGTCCAAATTTTATGATACCATCAGTATATATTTAAAACTATATACCTAATAGGTATATAATTCTAATGATTTTTCTATATGTATATAGTATATACGTATATATACCCCAAGCCTGTATGTGCCGAAACAATTTTCACAAATCAATATTGTACCCATAATATAAACAATGTTTTTATTATGTATAGTCTAATTTAATAGAAATACATGGTAATAAGTTTAGACAACCACCTATTCCATCAGCAAATAAACTTTGTAATGGGCCACAACAAAAACCGCATCAAAAAGTTACCATGGAGATGTTAAAAAAAGTATTTACCTTATAATTTTAATTATACACCAAATTTTTAAAAATGGTTACTGATGACCAGTGGGATCATTTAGGGGAGAAAAAGGAAGAAATTTCACTTTTTACTTCATGTACTTTAAATTGTTTTAATATTTTAACATATTACATATTACTTTGGTAACTGAATAAAAAGAATGTTAATCCAGCTACTTCTAAGAATATATTATTTTCTTAAAGAGTAAAATAAATAACTCATTTTATTTTAGGTAGCCAAATCCCAAAGAGAAGAATCATCACATGTTTGAAAGACCAAAAATTTTATGCATGGCTCCTTAATGTATACAAAATACATATATTAATTAAAATGCATTGGCAATAACTGGAGAAGATACCAGCTCTTGAATTAGGTAACCAGGCATTAGTGATGAAAAAGAGAAAACCAGCCATTAGTGATGAAAACCAGAAAACCTTAACAGTGCCTCATCATAATGTATCTACTAAGACCTAGCTGGTAACATTTTAGACAATTGCCGGAAACACGACAGCTGACAGGGGAATTTTACTGTTTGCAGCTTCAAAAGGCGAAGAAAATGTTGTACATCGATAACAAGGGTATTCAAAACAAGTGAGGTAAATTTAGGATAAAAATGAAAGAAAGAATAATTCATATTTATACATTTATAGAGCTTCTTACACTGGTAGCACAAAGAATAAAATCATTTCCAATCATTCACTCATTTTAAATTTTATAGATTCAACTTCATAAATGATACAACCCTAAGTAGCTACTAAGAGACACCAGTATGAGCTTCTAGTAGTTGTCTTCACGGAAGACTATTTGTGCAGTCTCTCATCTCTTTCCTTTAGGGTTTTGTTAGTCATAAATTACAATGCTGGTGGAATCATCTGTCTAAACTACCGGCAATATCTTTGTTCCACATGATAATATGGTCCAGCTATAGTTCCAACATGTAGAACATGTTGCAGTCACAAACCTAGATTCTGACTATCACTAAATCTAGCTGCCTGGAAACATTTATTAATAACTTAAATGGTTGTTTTCTAGAAAGAATAGTACTGATTTTGAACTGCTTATAAAAGAAGAAAATGTGTCCCAAAGCCTCTATTCACCTTACCTGCAATAGGTAGCTTGAGGTAAACATGTTGCCCAATGGGCACTTGAAGATGAGTGCTTGGTGGCAGCATCAAACAGAAAAGCCTCGTATCATGAGTAACATTTTCCTTGGAAATTAACTGGCACTTTCTGTAGTACAAACCTAAAAAGTGATTCATTTTCTCTTATTGATACATAAGTTAATAAGAAGTAATACTAAACCACTAAGAGAAAGCACACACTCAGCTTCTGTTTTCTAGAAAGCTTCAACTTCACTAAAATGCCTATACATTTAAAAAATTAATCAATATTTTAAGGTTAATTTTTCCATTTTATTTCCTGAGATATCTGTTGACCAAGACCTGTAAATACTTCTATAACTTGAAAGATGAACTTAATGAGTGTTATTTCCTCACATCTGTTGTTATAGCATGTTGAGCCATTATGTTCTAAAAAAAAAAAAAAAAAACCCTAATTTTATTTGATAATGAATAAGTTTACATTGTAAAGTCTTTAAAAAAAAATTTTTTTTTTAAGAGATGAGGTTTCATTATGTTGCCCAGGCTAGTGTCAAACTTCTGGACTCAAGCAATCCACCCACCCTGGCTTCCCAAAGTGTTGTGATTACAGGCATGAGCCACCGTACATTCTAAAATCTTTTCTTACACAATGGAAAAGTCCTGAAGCTCAAGCCTTTAAGGCTTAACAACAGTAGCACTATTAAGCAATTTTAGAATATCTCTTTGACAAAGGCAAGAAGATATACATTCTTGTGTCTCTATGTTTGTGTGTATGTATTTTATATATATGATTAGAGAACATTTTAACTGTCACAAAATGATTAAAATAAAAATTTTTATGCTTAAAGGTGTAGGTTTTGGTATCTGGAAAATTAATACAAGTGAAAAGCTGAAGATGGTAGGATTAGGATTATGGTACTAATATACAAATAGATAAAAAGAATCAAATATTTTTATAAATACTAGAGAAATTTGAAATTAATATCCCAAGCTCAGAAAATATTGTTTGTATACAGAGCAAATAATACCATTTGAATTAGAAGAATTTATTATAGAAGTTCTCAAATAATTAAGATTTTCACTTGTAAATTCTCTTTGAACATAAATAGCATATCAGAATAATGTGAAGGTATTAACTTTTTATTTCCTCTCTCAAAATAGTATTTACAGAGATGTAAAGGAATAAACCCTGATAATATATTTCTTATTCTAGTTATTCTCTTTTTTTAACCCAAAAATATTCAAGTAGGTGCAGAAATATTTTCTCCAGATCTTAGAAAGTGAAGAGCCAACAGCTAATAATCAACACTTAGTGGAAAACTGAAATTCACATATAATCCTAAGAAATCATTTTAGTCACAAGTGAATCCAACTTCCCTTCTCTCTTCTGCTCCCCACAGATCAGTCACTCAATTTTCCACCTGCTATCATGGTAGCAGTAAGTATATAAGCTTAGACTACATCACTTTATGCAAAGACCCTGGAGTATCACTAGAGGTCACCTCACTCTAGTGCCAGGGCACAAGTTTGGACCAGATTACGGCTAATAGTCCACCCTAAAGTTATCCTGGAAGGCCTAACAAGCACTGGCCTAACCAAAGGGTCAAAGGACATAGGCCCATGCACAAAGAGAAATGAAGGTGCAAATGATCTCTTTATTTCTTTTTCCAGACCCTTTCTGGAACCCACAGTAAGAATACAACTAGAGACCCACATACTATATACATATAAATATTTAACAGTTATAAATCAGACAAATAACTGTCAAAGTATGTTCTATGCTATATCTTGAAATATACAGCTTCACAAGGTCCTAGAAGGCTAGGTTCAAATTTGGGATTCTTAAACTCCTCAGAATATCAGTGAGATGGCAGAGGAATGAGACCTGCACTCCCACTGCCTGCCCCCATTGTCTTTTCATCCTTGGCTGTCTGACTCTGAGTAGGGGCTTAAATGGGTATGGATACATTAACCCACAGGCTCAAGCTCATGCACTAGCTTTTCATATAAACAGCCCTGGCCACTCCTTGGATAGAAGTAGATTTGGGGTCGTTTGGGCAGGGAATTCCATGGTTCTAGATACCTAGAGGGTGAAGTTGAAAGAAAGAGGATGAGCTCCAGGTGGATACTTCGTGGTCTTGTAATACTTCTTACCTTGTGGGAGGGGTATGGCTGTGGCTGGAGATAGTCATGTGGGGCTCTCCAAGTGTGGAACCCAGGGCAGGTGCCCTTCTTGCACAGGTCTAAGGACCACAGTGTTGTTTTCTTCTAATAAAATCTAGTGCATATCATTTTGATAACTTTACAGCTAGATGAAAATGCTCACCTTCTGGACTGACAATTTCTACTCTAGCATTTGCTAGAAAAGTTTGCTATAGTAACTATGCAACACTCCAATGATATTTAAAACACAAGGAAATACTGGGTTACAGTGATTTACTGACTTTCCTTGTTAGAGAGTTGACACAGCATTCTTGTTATTTAACACTACTGAGATAATTTCAATGTTTTACCCACAAAAGGCTGACTATAATTTCAAAAGAACATCCTAACTATAGGTTCTAAGAATTTTAAGAAAGTTTTCATCTTTCAATTGCATCAAGGAGAAAGAGAGCACAGACAGATGGGAACTGCAGTATATAAGATAAGAAAAAAGTATAAAGCAGATGGCACTAACTACTTCAGTCTGCACAATGCCATTATTTAACTGTCGGCTTTTTGGCTTTCTAAGCACAGGTAATTATACTAAAAAATGAGAAACTGAAAATAAAGACAGTAAAACAAAAACAAGACAAAAACATTACTGCCCCAAATACCTAACTTATTTGAATTAAATACATACAATTAATATTGAGATACTCAGGGTAAGGCTGAAATACTGAGGATAATAAGACTATTTGAGCATACTTTTTTCTTAATGTTAAAAAGAAACTGTATTTTCCCTTTTAAAAAATAGAATTTCACAAGGCCAAAACAGAAAACACAGGTAAAGTCTTCAATGGGAGACAGAAGAGAAAGAGAAGACTGCACTAGGAGTCCACACTGCCTTCAACTGGCTTCTCCTTCTTGCACTTTTGAAGCACTTAGTTACTCTTACTTTCCCTGCTGGAAACAGAAGCTTATAGAAGTTAAAAAGCTTGTCCAACATCTCAGGGCACCTAGAAAAGATGTGGGATGGAGTAAGAAGCTATTAGGGTTTCTTGTCCCAACTCAGTAGGCCTTGTTTAAAAAGTTTGAGAACATGATTAGTAATTATTAGTAGCCAATCACTATAGACAAGTTGTGGATGCAATGGAAAAGCTCTCGAAGGAAATTTAAAGTCCTACTTCAGTGAGCACATGAATGATACGATAAGAAAGCAAAATAGCCTTATTGCTGATTTGTAGAAAGTTTGAGTGGTCTGGATAGATGAAACCAGCCAGAACACTCCCTTAAGCCAAAAACCTGATCCACAGCAAGGTCCTAACTCTCTTCAATTCTAGGAGGGCTGAGAGAGGTGAGGAAGCTATAGAAGCAAAGTCGGAAGCTAGAAGAAGTTGGTTTATGAGGTTTAAAGAGAGAAGCTATCTTCATGACATACATCTCCACCAGAGTTCTTGGGTGACTAGGTGCATTGTCAATGAATGACAACAATTCGAAAGGAATCCTTTTTTTTTCCACATAGTAAGTCTCAACAGTGGGCTTCAAATATAGAAGTTTCACCATTCTAGATGCCATTAAGAACATTTGAGATTTATGGGAGGCAGTCAAAATAGCAACATTAACAGGAATTTGAAAGGTGATTCCAATTCCCACGGATGGCTTTGAAGGGTTCAAGACTTCAGTGGAGGAAGTAACTGCAGATGTGGTGGAAATACAGCAAGAGAACTAGAATTAGAAGTGGAGCCTGAAGATGTGACTGAATTGCTGCAATCTCATGATAAGACTTGGAACAGATGAGGAATTGCTTCCTAGGGATGAGCAAAAAATGTGGGTTATTGAGATGGAATCTACTCCTGGTAAAGATGCTGTGAAATGTTGTTGAAATGACAACAGATAATTTAGAATGATACATAAACTTAATTGATAAAACAGCAACAGAGTTTGAGAGGACTGACTCCAATTTTGAAAGCAGTTTTATTGTGAATAAAATGTTATCAGAGAATCTTTTGTGAAAGAAAGGGTAATCGATGTGGGCAAACTTCATTTTTTCTTAAGAAATTACCACAGCTACCCCAACCTTCAGCAACCACCACCCTGATAAGTCACCAATCATTAGCATCGAGGCAAGACTCTCCACCAGCAAAAAGATTATGATTCACTGAAGACTCAGATGATTGTTAGCATTTTTTAGCAATATATTGTTTTTTAAATTAAGATGTGTAAGTTGTTGTTTAGACATAATGCTATTGCATACCTAACAGACTAAAGTATAATGTAAATATAACTTTTACATGCACTGGGAAACCAAAAAAATGGTCTGACTTGCTTTATTGTGATACTCCATTGCGATGGTCTGGAATCCAACCCACAACATCTCCAACATATGCCTGTAAGTGGCTGTTCACATATCAAAATTGTGAGACCTTTCTTTTTTTTTTTAATCTTGTTTCCTAAGACAATTGACTGGGTTATTTGTTGGCAAATCTTTAAAATTACCTTTGTTTGGTGATCCAAGACTCCACATTAAAGACAATTATCAATTAAGATAAAAATGCTAATGTTAGCTTGTGTATAGAAATAGCAATTCAATTATCTATTGATTTCTGACCCTTATTAGAGAAGTTCCTCAGCCATCTCTTTCTCTACTGCTTTCTCTCCCCCTGCCTCTTTCTCCCACATAACCCCCACAGCTACTCACTCATAATCTTCATTTCCGGGAAGAAAAAAATTAATTGGAAGCATCACACTTATAAATTATATGGGTTCAATTCATACAATTTAAAATATTGACCTACTACATCTGGATTGAAGGTAAAAATGAAAGTTTCTCTTCTCTGGTTGATGTTCTTTCTGATATATGAATCCTTCATGTAAGGATCTTCTAGATTTGACATGAGAAAACATTATATTAAAAGTTTTTCAACTTATATGCTTGTTTTCAAATTCTTTTAGCTAAGAAAGTAGTAAGACACAGCCAGCATACTATTGTCATAAAGTCAATAATTACAGCAATACATATTGAAAATCTAGGAACCACATAATTGGCTGTAAATCTTTAAGGCTACTCAAAGCAAGTTAATTATAATATTTTGCTGATGTAATCATTCGGCTTTGCTAGTGAATAAAATAACCTACAGTTTTTGTCATGATTTAAGGAGAAGAAAGGAGAAAGATGAAATTATCTTTGTTAATGCAGTGAAACAAAAATATCTCCTAAACTCCAAGTCATTTTCCAAAGTGGAAAACCTTCACTGAAAAACACATTACAGCTCCAATTTCAACCAAGAAAGCTAAACCTTTCTTTTTTTATGGTGGTTCAGGATTCAAGAAAAAATTTACAGCAGAAATAAAAGAATTAATGGAAATCCTCAAGAAATTACAGAGAATATCCGAATGATGGTTGTTCTAACTAGTTATTTCCAAATGGAGGTCAGCCCAGGTTCTCAGGATCATTTATTTCTTGGACTTGGCTTTTACCTGGTTTGCTATGATTTTTCAATCACTAGATAAGAAAGACAATTTCAGGGAAAGAGATTTCACCCTAAAAATACCTTTTCATTTCCATTGTTCCTTTTCTATTCTTTTCTGATCTGCTATATCACACTATCATTTCTCGATGTCCTCTCTCCTTACCTAATACCAAAAAATTCAGACCTCTTGCTCTGGTAAAATTAACCCATTATAACTTTCCTACATGCCACTTACATTTTTCTCTCTCTACATCCAACAAAATGCCTGGCCTAATATGCAACCAGTAATGACCTGTAGCTCTACCTGGAAAGTCCAAAATAGTTTTTTGTTTTTTTCTGAAAGCCATGGACCTCACTTTGAAAATACTGCTTCAAATTCACTTCCTTGAGGCAGTCATTCAAGGTCAAATTCATCTGTGTCTATTCACTTGGGGCTACCACAAAACATGTTTAGTTTGTACTGTATAACTTATTCTTGTCAGCCTATTTCCTTATAAAAGTGTTCTTCAATTTCATGTTTGCGTATTTTCTATCTTCCACGTGGGAAACTAAATTTCCCATACTCTTTGTTTCATTCCACAGTGCCTAAAACAGTCTTCTACACACAAGATGTACTCAAAATAAGGCTGCCTCACGCTTTTCTGAAAATTAGCTACAAATATATTTTCATAAGTGTGAATTAAAAAGAAATACTGTTCTGTGTCCCTGGTTCCTGACACACAACTCCTAAAATCTTTGTAAACAGAGACACTAAAAGAATCTTCTGTTCTAATATTTGGTCTTTAACCCTGGTTCCTGACACTAAGCTCCTAAAACTTTTTGTAATTTCCTAAGTACTATAAGTGTCTTAACAGAATTCCTAAATCCCTGCAATTTCCTGGGTGATAGGAGCATCTTTTGTTCTAATGGGGAGACTCCTGGTAGGCTCCCGGATAGCCTCAAGATGGGACCTGTCTGCCTGGGAAACCAACCATGTGATTAAAGGATTGGAACCTGCAGCCCCCTTCCTAGACCTCTGAGGACAGGACAGGCTGAAGGTTAAGCTGCTCACCAATGGTCAATGACGTAGTCAATCACACCAACATAATAAAGCACCCATAAAAACCCAAAATGACACGGTTTGAAAAAGCTTGTGGAAAGCTGAACACATGAAAATGTTTGGAGGATGATGCAATCACTGAGGTCATGGAAGCTCTGTGCCCCTTTTCACATATTTGCCCTACGCATTTCTTCCATCCAGTTATTTACTTGTATCCTTTGTAATATCCTTTATAGTAAAATAATAAACTTAACATGTTTCCCTGAGTTTTGTGAGCCATGCTAGCAAATTTTTGAACCCAAGAAGGAGGTTGTGACAACACTGATTTATAGGTGGCTGGTCAGAAGCATAGGTCACAACCTGGAATTTGCAACTGGCATGTGAAGTAGGGGGCAGTCTTGTGGGACTAAGCCCTTAACTTGTGGGGTCTGCCCTAAACTCCAGGATGTATCAGACTTGAGTTAAATTGCAGGACAGACAGTTGGAGTTGCTGTAGAATTGGTTGTTGGTGAGAAGAAATTTCACATTGTAGTGTTCTGAGTTGAGAAGTAAGACTAGGAAAAAGTTTGTTTTTTCCTATCTCATGCAATAAATTATATATGATAATTTTATATATTTGAAGAAGATAAACTGAATACATGCAGTTAGTTCCTTCTGAATCCCCTAAAACAACAACAAAAAGGGTTTTTGCATGTGTGTTTGATTTTTAAGGCATAAGTCCACACAGACAGAAAGAATGGAAATCAGAGACAAAGGCAACAAACTTCAGGAGCTGACAAGGCAGAGAGAAGACTGGTAAACGACTCAACAGACTGAAGATAGCTGAATGCTAAGCCAGAAGTGTAGAAAGCCAAGAACCAACATACTTATAATACAAAATTCCTTTAAGGCTCAGAAACTGACAGGACTAAGTACCTCTGGCATCAGAGTCAAGAATTAAAATTACTTTCTCAATACAAGTTCATTTAAGAAGCTTGGATAGGTCTTCCCATCCCCTTGAAGTCCTCCCTACTTAGCACAGCCACATGACTGACACTTCCCCATATCAGCAAAATATAAGAAGTTTGCACTCTAGAGGGTAAACAAGGGGTCTCTAGATAGGGTCTATGCTATAGACTGAATTGTGTCCCCTCGCCAAATACATATGTTGAAATCATAACCCCCAATACCTCAGAATGTGACGATATTTGGAAACGGGGTCTTCACTTAAAAAGTAATTAAGCTGGTTCTAATTCATTGTGACTGGTATTTTTATAAAGAGAGGACATTAGGACACAGACACACAGAAGGAAGACCATTTAAAGAAACAGGAAAAAAGGAGGCCATCTACAAACTAAGGGAAGAAGTCTCAGAAGAGACTAACTCTGCCATAGACACTTAGTCTGTAGTAGTTTGTTACTGCAGTCCTAGCAAACTAATATCATATTCTAAGAAAAAAAAAAAAAAGAAAGAAAATTAAGTGACGCTTACAGATATACCAGAAGCTAGGCCCAGCCTTCTTCCCCACATGGCTTCTGAAATGCTGGGTACAAGGTAGGAGATTGTTCACTCTAGGGACTCTTGGCTTTGGACTTTTCCCAAAGAAATGTTCCAGCCATATAGTGAATATAACCGTTGGCAAGCCACACCCACATGCACAGTTTCCAATTAGTTTTACAGTCCTACCCTGAAATATGAGCAGATAGTAAAAGATTAGGAAACATTCAAAGAAAGCATTTAATATTAAAGACACTATAACAAACAAAAAACAACGAACCTGAGCGACACAGAAGTTATACAGTGAGAAGAAAACATTATCAGTCATTCTTTAAAAGATAAGCTAATAAGAATAGGATGCTAAAACAAAGGAAAGGAAATCAAAGGAGTTAGAAGTTAAAAAATATGAGTAGAAATGAGTAACTCAATAGAAGAGCCAGAAGACATAGCTGAAGACATCTCCCAGAAAGTAGAACAAAAGGACAAAACTGAAAATAAGAGAGAAAAGATAAGGTAATTAGAAGACTAGTTAAGGAAGTTCAATATGTAGAAAGTAAAACAGACCATGGGGAGAAGTAAAACCAATAATAGTTTCCAAGAACTGAAGGTCATACGTTTCTATATTGAAAAGATTAGCACAAAAAATGTATGCCCAGTAAGAAGGATAAAGAATCATCCATGTTCTGGCACATCATTGTGAAAGTCCAAAACACTTAGAACAAGGAGTAAATACTACCAATTTCCAAAGAGAAAATATAGGATATGTTCATTTGCAAAATATCATCAAGTAGAGCACTTCTAATATGCACCCTTTTCTATATATATGTTAAACTTAGACAAAAAGCTTTTTAAAAATGAAAAGAAATGAATGGTACTATCTTTTAGAAAAGATATGGTTTGGATCTGTGTCCCCATCCAAATCTTAGGTTGAATTGTAATCCCCAGTGTTGGAGGCAGGGCCTAGTTGGAGGTGACTGGAGCATGGGGGCGGATCCTTCATGAATGGTTTAGGAACACCCTCTTGGTGGTGTTCTCATGACAGAGTTCACACAAGATCTGGTGTTTAAAACTGTGTAGCACCTCCCCCATCTCTCTCCTCTTCCTTCTCCAGCCATGTAAGATGTGCCTGTTTTCCCTTCACCTTCTGCTATGATTGTAAGTTTCCTGAGTCCTGCCCAGAAACCAAGCAAATGCCAGCACCATGCTTCCTGTACAGCCTGTAGAACCGTGAGCCAATTAATCTCTTTTCTTTATAAATTATCCAGTCTCAGGCATTTCTTTAAAGCAATGGGAAAAGAGACTAATACAAGAAGTAAACTGAGAAACTAGTTTAATTAAGAAGAAAAATAGTAAACATATCTTCCTCAATAGGAAAAATATCAAGCAGACATACAAAGTATAAACTTAAACTTGTTTTTGTATCTTCACAAAAGGGGACCTGAAAGAGTAAATGGTTGATCAACAGTCTAAGCACAAGTGGGCTTCTCCATTCAGGTATCATTATGTAATGACTTCACTACGCCTACACATTAGATAGTAGAGTCTGAAATTTACTTCTACGGGAAAAAAAAGCAGGACAACAGACACAATGTCCCTTTCAAACTTCCTAGAGATAGATACAAGGGTCCTTCAGCTCATTTCAAAGCAGCCTTCCAAACTCTGGTACATCTGTACAACAATTTCATGAATGTGAAATTAACATAACAAAAGAACACAGCATACCTGTATCTTTCCTTGGAATAAGTGAATTATGATTCTCCAGGGGATGGCCAAGAAAGTCCCAAGAAGTATTCTCTTTTTTTTTAAGAACAATCTCTATTTTTCCCACACTCTCAACAACCCGCACTGAAAAGAAGATAAATTCCATTTGTATTCATCGATACTAAATACAAGATTTTATTTTAAAACCAGTATTTCTCAAATAGTACAAATGTCCTGATCCAATATGAATGGTACTGATTATTAGTGGGATAAATAAGATTCTGTTTACGTATTCAATCACAATCATAATTGTTTATGCTTTATATGCTTTAATTTACTTTATTAATAGATTCAGATTAACTTCTTTCAAACTAACTTATTAAGGGTCAAACTACTATGTGTTGCTGGTTTTCATACAAGCTCAAACATAGCCATGGCAACTAACTGACATAAAGTTTAAAAAAAAAAAAAAAAGGCTGAGATGTACAAATTAGTATCGAATGCCCCCACAAAAGCAAATTTAATTTGCTTTTTAACATTCCTTAGTCAGAATCTGAAGGATTCTTATGACTAAATTCAGTAGACTAATACCGAGTCTAATAAACACAAGAAGAGCCTCATGAGAATGAGGTCCTAGTAAATACAGAGTAAATTGATAAAGTGCATGTGAATCTTTGATAAAAATATTTTAGATTACCTTTTTATTGAATAATTAAAATGTTTATAATATATGGGTATAATAATAAAATATATACTTTCATATGCTGATTTAAATTTTATGAATTGAACATGCTTTTAAAGATTTAAAGCATACTTAATTTTTCTTCAGATACAATGTTCTGCTCTCCCCCACTGTGAACACAAAATCCAGTAACAATTTAACAACTTTTAAAGACAGATGGATCAAATCAATTCAATTTGATGAGCACTGATTTTGAAGTTTAACCAAAATAAAAACATGGTCTTTGTCTTTAAAGAGCCTGATTTATATAATTTGCAGAGCCTATAATGATATATGGAAAAGAGGAAACATTGGACCAGCATAAGGTACCAAAACAGTACTTGAAAACAAGAAAATACCATTCTATGATGAGTCTTCTATTATTAAATAGCTGTGTAAAACCTACGCTGCATGTTTATATGCAGCAATATTCATAATTTAGTATGCTCTTTATTGAACATTTAAATATATAGATGAAAGAAAAATTTTGCTAATACAGTATATTTCTTTTTTCTTTTTTTTTTTTTTTTGAGATGGAGTCTCACTCTCGCCCAGGCTGGAGTGCAGTGGCACAGTCTCGGCTTACTGCAAGCTCTGCCTCCTGGGTTCACGCCATTCTCCTGCCTTGGCCTCCCAAGGAGCTGGGGCCACAGGCGCCCACCACCACGCCCGGCTAAGTTTTTGTATTTTTAGTAGAGACAGGGTTTCACCATGTTAGCCAGGCTGGTCTCGATCTCCTGACCTCACGATCCTTGGCCATATAGTATATTTCTACAAGCTGCATGTCAGGAGTAGGGCAGATATGAGGAAAGAAGAATAAAAAGGAGACAGAATGTGTGCGTGTGTGGTTTTTTTTAAGGAGGAAAAAAAAGAAAGGTTAAAGAGATAAAAAGAATAAGGGGGTCCAGCCAGGGCAACATGGTGAAACCCCATCTCTACAAAAAAAATTAGCCAGCTGTGGTGGTGTGTGTGCACTGTGATCTCAACTACTCAGGAGGCTGAGGTGGGAGGATCACTTGAGCCTGGGAGGCAGAGGTTGCAGTGAGCCAAGATCGCACTGCTGCTGTCCAACCTGGGTGACAAAGTGAGACCCTGTCTCGCACACAAAAAAGGAACAAGCGGGAAGAAAAAATAGGAAAAAACCTGAAACCAGAGGGAGGGGTATATTTAAAAATTAATGTATTTGTATCTGTACAGCAAACCCCCATGACACACATTTACCTATGTAACAAACTTGCACATCCTACACATGTATCCCAGAACTTAAAAGTTTTAAAAAAAAGAGAAAACATCGTATCTTTGTTTTGCAACATGAAAATACACATATGAAAAATGAAACACATGCTAATTTTTCAATTTTTCTTCTCTCTCTCTCTCTGTAGGTATGTGTATATGTACATACATACATAAGTTTTGGTTTTTGGTAGCTTACCAGAAAAATCTTCCTGAACCTCATGGCTTAGCCCTAGGACAGACAAATTTATTTAGTTAAAATAGAACTTCAATTCATACAGTTTTTGAACACCATATGTCATTTAAATGGCTCTTTTATGAATTATTTCAAATCCCTCAAGACAAATAAAACATGTTCTGAGAGACCCAAAGAAATTGTACACAATCAAAATGAAGATTCAAATTATTTAAATATATATATTTTCAACTGTTTCAATTTTCTCCCTTTTAACTAAACAGCAAATACTCAATTGCCCACAAGTGGGTAACCCACACTAGTCCAAGCATGGATGGTTCCAGACTGGGAATCCTACAAACCAAGAGAGGAGCAGGCTAGGGAGAGGCAGCACCTAAAGCACGCAAGCCCCAGAGTGCGTGTGTGTGTGTGTGTGTGTGTGTGTGTACACAGGCCAGGTCTGGGTCTAGCTTACCTTTTCTTATTGTTCTCCAAAGTTGCTTATCCATTCAATTATTGAAAAAAATCTTATTGAGCATCTACATGTGACAGGTATTTTCTAGGTATTATGGACACAACAGTTAATAAGACAGAAGACTTTCTGCCCCTATGGAACTTATACTCCAGAAGGGGGAGATGCAAGAAATATGCTTACAAATGTCTGCTATGCATTTCACTGTGTTCATATGGTTATCTGGAATTTACAATTTTGCATTATTTCAGTCCTTTCAATGCAATACTAGCACCCGAGAGTTTCATATTTTTAACTGTGGAATTTTTAGTTTTTTAAAATATGTGTGCTAGTGTAGGGTTTCCTGGTTTCTACCACTTTTTTCTCTGTCCTGATAAAAAAAATACAAAGTTGGTCTTTAGCCATGAAGGGATGGACAGCTGGAAGATACAATACAAATTTGTAGTCCAGGCTGCTTTGCTGCAGCCACTGACTTCCTGTGGCAGAGCTGGTAAGGAACACGCCAGTGGAACGGGCCATCTAGCGAAGGACAGTCTGTAGGACATGTGACCACTGAGTCTTGGAAGACTTCTTATAGGTGTCAAGTATGAGAGATTTTACAAAGCTGGGCCAACAAATATTTTATATTATTGATTTTGATTGCATATAATTGCTTAAACTTGGAAAGGTGAGGTCACACCGCCACTGCTAGTACTTTTATTAGTGTAAAGAAATTACAGGAAAAAAACTGATCAAAAATGACTAACCAAAATGGTAACAGCAGATAAAATATTACAGTTACCTAGACTGTAGACCAAATTATTGCCATATTTAAAGAAAACCAGAGCTCTTTCCGTTAATAATGATAAAGTACTCACCAATATGTATAAGATATAAACAATCCTTAATAATTGTTTCTGCTCTAAAGGAATCATCCTGATGATCAACTATTATTGAGTCTAAATTGATACCCTTAAACAGAAAGAAACAATAGAAAGATTAGAAAGTAAAAATTTCCCCCAAACTTCTACAACTATACTTTTAAGGTGATTTGTGGTAGTTCACATGGTGCTTCTTTATTGGACCTCCAAGCTAAACAAATGTGACTTCTGTTTTTCTCCCTTACAATCCAGTTCTTCTCCTTCAACAGACATATCAAAATTTTAATTACTACATATCCGTCTCTGTTTAATATCTACCTTATCCACTCATCTCTAAGCTCTAAGGTTAAGGGACTATCTTTAGAACACTGTTTGGCATCTAGTAGGTGCTCAATAAATATTTTTTGAATAAGCAATATGGAATCCCCCCACCCCCTAGAAAATAACAATCAGAGCAGAAACCAACTTATTTTTGTTCATCTTTATCTTTTCTGTAATGTATGATCTTGGGCAAATTACATAACCTCTTGACCTTAGCTTATAAAAAAAAAAATCAAATTACTAACATATTTTTAGGTGTCTCTAACTTCTACATAGCCTTGGTGTAAGCTATATATTATTTATATTATTCACTGAATACATTATTCCACAAGGAACCCTTTTCTTTTCCCTTAGCCATCCATCCTCTCTGTCCCATTGATATTACCAATGCAAGTGGACCTTCCTAGAGCCTGTGCTCTGGGTTTTGAACTGTGTGATGAAAAGACAATATCAAGAGAGAGTGGAAAACAGGATAAGTAGTGCCTCTGGCCCTCTTGGCTCTTTCCAGGCAGAGGTTGGTCACTCCTGCAGAATGGCCAAATCATGCTGCAAGAGTCAGAAGAACCCACTGGTTCAGACATGGTTCTGCTACTATAGAAGTAGCATGAATTCTCAAAAACTCCTAGCTGCCAGAACTTGTCTTTAAATCTACATATCCCTCAAAGTGTGGGAACCTCAACAGTTGCTGGAGGATGTGCTTGGAGATATTTTAAATTGTATGCATATTTATCTGATTTTCCAGTTGGACTATAAGCCTTTTTGGAAGTCAGGTCTCTAAGTATCTGGTCTATCATTAGATCCCTGATATCTAAGGCTGTGTTCTACATGAAACAGGTTATAAATACTTAATGAACTATCTCCCTAACTTTAGTTTCAATGGTGAATGAATTACCTCCCTAACTTCAGTTTCAAATGGGGATCCGAACACCATTAGTGGTTTAAACATACTAAGCCACAGCCACAGCAAAATACCTTCTCCAATCCCAGTTTATGTCTAGGAAATTTGTTCTTATGAAGTTAACTGATATTCATTTTTTGTTATCCATACTTTACACACACACACACACACACACACACACACACACACACACAGAAAAACACATAAAATACTTCCTACTCTGATTTTTAAGAGGCTATAGGAATGGCTGTTAAGAGCAGATGCTCTGGAACCAGACTGCCTGAGTTCCAAATGCCAGATTTGCCACTCAGTGTCTAACTATGGGTGAATTACTTAATCTTTTCTTTGTTTCCTCTTCTGTACAAAAGGGATAACAATACTATCTACCTCAAAGAACTGTAATGAGAAGTAAATAATATAAAAAAGTGTTTAGAAAAAGACCTGGTACATAAAATTAACATTTATTATTTACTTCTTTTCTGATTTAAAAGACATATTTACCTTCTGTTTAGTATATATGGCAATGGTGACTAAAGAGTTTGTTTGGAACCAATCATAGCTGTAAAATATAAAGAAAAGGATGAATAATTATATTGACAATCATGTGCATTAACCCATATTAATCATTAAATGTTTAAAATTTATAGTGAGACATATCTGTATTTCTCTAGGTTAAGCTTTTTTCCTAAATAAACAGTGGTCTTACCATGTTACATTCTTCATTATACAGCTGACAACTATTTCTAAATTTAAAATATCTATACTTCCATGTATTCCCACTTGAATAAAAACAAAATATCCTCAACAAGACACTTTTTATAAAGGTTACACATCTCTTTACTAAAATCTTCTTTTATCAGAGCAAAATCAAAACAACATATTTTGTTAAAGAGTATGAAAAAATGTACCTGTTTATTATCTTCATTTCTCCCTGTCACAGATGTATTAGTACTGAAGAAATGAACTCATCAAGGTTGTTTAATGGGTCCATAGTAAAACTTAAAGTAAAACTAAGTCTTCTGTTTTGTTACAGCTATTGATCAAATTGATACTCTTTTTGCACTTATCACCTATACAGGCGAATCTACAGGGAGCATCCTTAGTCCCTAATTTAAAATTTTATATCAAATAATTTAACAAATATAGCAGGATGCTGACATTAGAATAATACAGACTGGTGGTGTGGAGAAAAGGGATAAGAGAAAGAACTACAGAGAACACACCTGAAGGCATTTTAAGTGTCACTAACAAGATACATGTGTATTGCCTAAGTTACTATTAACTGTTTAAGACAAGTGTTGGGCAATACATTCTGAAAAATTCCCATTAAAAATTGATAAAAATGAACTAGATATATAAAAAAAAGAATATTTAAATACATTATGGCATGGTCATATGATGGAATGAAGAGAAAAAATGCTTTCGCAGAAAATTTAACGGCATAAAAAATGCTCATAGAATATACTGTCATACCAATATTATAAAAATAGAATAATATGGAAGTAGGTATTATATTAATCTAACTGGAAAATATAAATAATAGTATATAACTAAGGATGGTGAGATTACAACTGATTTTATCACTTTCTTTTGTATTTGTATTTCTCTATATTTTCTAAGTTTTCTACCATTAATGTATTTTTTTTATAATCAGAAAAATATTTTAAAATAGTTTTTTAAAGTACTGGTGTTTAAAATGGATCAAACTTCAGTTATATTTAAAATTCACATTTATGGAACAGCTCATTCTCTAACAACATCTCCAACAACATCTAATAAACAGCTCATTCTCCAACAACATTACAGTTCTCGTGTCAAAATGCATGACTAACAGTAAGCAATAAATCAAACCCAGAGCTACTTTATTTTTTAAATGTGTACATTTTTGTATATAATTGATTTAACTTTGAAAATTTTAAAGAAGAATGCATACCTTGGATAACTAGGACCTTCTTTGGCACGTGTATCTGTCACTTGGCTCTTGGGAAGCATGCCTTTACAAAGAAAGATAGCTATAGTTCATCTACAAAGTATTTTCAATATTTTGTCTTTTTAGTTAACATCTTATTGAAATATCACATATATTCATAGAAGGATACAAATCACAAATGTACTACTCAATATATTTTCACTTGATCTTAGCCAGAAGGCCAAGATACAGCAAAACATACCCTTGCAGTCAGCACTCTCTTCATGCTCCCTTTTCAGTCACCACCCCTGCCTCAAGAGTAACATGTATTCTGACTACTAATACCATGGTTAGTATTTGCCTGTGTTTGATCTTCATATAAGTAGAATGATACATTCTCTTTTGGTTCTGGCTTTTTGTCCAATATTCCAGACATTACAGTTCTTATGTGAAATAAGCATGATTGATAATAAGCAATAAATCAAATCTAGGTTTCTGAAATTTTATCCATGCTACTGAATTCATCAGTAGCTTGGTCCTTATTGTAACTGAGTAGTAATACATTATATGAATAGTTCACAATTTATTCATTCTTCTGTTGATGAACATTCAGGTTGTTTCCAGTTTGGAGCTGTTATACACAGTGTTGATATAAATATTCTTTTACAGGTACATGCATATTCTTAAAGAACACATATCTACACTTTTGGTTAGTATGAAGGGTGTTTGTATGTTTAGCTTTAGAAGATACTACTAAGCAGCTTTTCAAAGTGGTTGTACCAGCTGCTCCACAATCTCACCAACATGTGGTTTCTATCTTTTCCATTTTATTCACTCTTGTGGGTTTGTATCCTTGTGGGTATGCACAACTACAAAATGCATCTTGGGTGTATGATGCAGTTTAAAAGCCCACTAAAGCTATGGTTTTTAAATCATTTCAGAAAACTGAGATATGGAAGAACTCAAGATATTGCAAACATTAAGTATTTCCCTCCTACAACAGGAGTGCATTGTTTGTATATGGTAAGATTTAGTTTGGAAAAAAGTAGTACTGCTGCTACCTGACTTTTGAAAATCATTGCATCAATTATATTACTATTTCTCAAACTATACAGGAACAAAATTAATGGTTAGTATCTGCTGAATCTTGGGTGCACAAATTAGAAATCACAGTATTTTATATAAATTTAAAAGTTGCAAGATACCTTTGGGACAAGACAGTTTAGAGATTTTCAAGATTCTTTTTAGACACAAACCTTCAAGACAAGCTCAAGTGCAAGCAAGATGTAAAACAGTCATATTTTTCTGCACAGGCTGATGGTGAGCCCTGAGTCCAGGCCTTACTCATTCAGCTTCCATTTCTTCCCACATAACCCTGCAGAATACTATTTTCAGATAAACAAAGGAAGCCTCAGGTATGTGACAACAAGGTCAGAGTTGTCAACTAATAATTAGCAGTGGGCACTAAAAGAAGAGTGCTCTACTACAAAACCGCAGGTAAAACAAAAGAGGACTACAAGAATTAAATGTATTTTTTTTCTAATATGGTAAAAGCAAGACAAAATAATCTTATTAAATTAAGCAGCACTGAAAGATTTCATTAAGAGATTAATGTTGTTTCTCTTTTGTAAGTCTCTTAGGTATATAAATAAAAATCAAAAGCATCAAAATCTAACAATTTCTGTAAGAAAATGTTATAAACAGAATTAATAAATTGTAAGTCAATACTGATCTTGTATATCTAATTAGGACCAGAAAATCTATAATTAAGCTCAGTGCCAGTACTGTGATTTTATGCAAGACACTGTTTCCTCTTCCTCAAATTGGAACTATTAATAGCAATGAAATGCTCCCTGCAATCTCTTGGGTGAGCAAATGAGACAATAATCAAACATTCTAAAAAACTATTTAGTATCATTAAGATAAATCTTATTAAAACAGAATAATAAGCCATGGAACGTGTCTTAATTTAAAACTAACTAAAAAAAACCCCTCAAACTTTATATAATATTATTTTGAGTAAGTTGAAAGAATAGTGGGGTGAATGTGTAGTGAAATAAAATAATTAAGTAATGCAAGGTGGACTGAATGCACGTTCTCCCTTCCATAAGTGTTGGTTGATTGAATGCTGTCAATCTGAAGGGATCGGGTCTCTAGTGGAACAGGAAAGTAGTCCAACTCATTCAGTATTTTAAGCAGCTATTGGAATAGTAACATAGAATGCAGGCAGATCACATGTGCAAATACAGAGACTTATCACATAGACTTAAATGAGCCAAAAGGGGAAAAGCAGCTAATAAATATACAGATAGATAGATATGTTCCAGTCTTATAGGGTCCAGGTCACAAGAGGTTACAGAGCTAACCACATCACTTGTGGAGTGCTATATTCCATACTTAACGCCACCTTTTACTGATAAATTAGTCAAATGCAGTGCATCCAAAGAAGGCAACAGAAAAGTAAAGGTTCTGGAAGCCATATGTGGTGGAAAGGAAATGACTAGTCTATCAGTAATCAATCATTAAGCAATGGTTGCTTTTGTAGTGTCACAGAAGAGTCAATCAACAGATGAAACCAAAGATCAGTCCCTCATTTAATGGAGTGTTATATTATCCGATGAACAGCTTCAGGTACTATATACTGCAGAAGTTAGTCCACAATATAGACTATTTCCTCCAGTTAACAAAGAAAAAGTTAACTCATCTGGCAATCTAGCTTGTTAGTTGAATTTCTGTAACTTTCTTTTGCAAACGAAGGAAAAAAATGTTTCTAAATGTACATCAATATAGTTCAGTTAGAGTTAGCATCGTGCATTTTATGTCAGTAGTGACCATCATGCCAAACTTTTTTGTGGGGGACAGGAAGTGTCAGTCATTATTTGCAAGTCATCCAGAATGGCTGGATGCACCACTCAGTTCAGAAAATTGTAGAGTAATAAACTATTTGGCATGTGTATGCAAACATTGGAGGTGAGCTCACACCTAAGAAAATTGACTTATTTTGTCTTGTTTCTGAGGATGAAATTCCTAATTGCTACAAGTATTCAAGCCGAGGGAGGATAACATGTATTCAGGGATGTCACGGAAGGCAGGACTATAAGAGTAATGGCTAGAAAAAAAGAGCCTATAAAACTCTACAAAAGGCTCTTAAGTTTGGGCCAGTAATGCTATCTTTCATACAAAAAAAAAAATTTAGGCTGGGCACGGTGGTTCACGCCTGTAATCCCAGCACTCTGGGAGGCCGAGGCAGGTGGATCACGAGGTCAGGAGTTCGAGACCAGCCTGACCAACACGGTGAAACCCCATCTCTACTAAAAATACAAAAATTAGCTGGGTGTGTGGTGTGCACCTGTAATCCCAGCTACTCAGGACACTGAGGCAGGAGAATTGCTTGATCCCGGGAGGCTGAGGTTACAGTGAGCCGAGATGACGCCACTGCACTCCAGCCCGGGTGACAAAGCAAGACTCCATCTCAAAAAAAAAAAAAAATCTAAATGCCCCAGACAATTCTGTGAACCAATACTGTTCATAAGCATGAGAATACAATTCATTTATTATAAATTTATAGACTTACCATTTAAGACTTTCTTTTCCTCCTCACGATAGTCTGTATAGCAATTTAGAAAAAAAAAGTCAAATAAGAATACTTTAATGTCAAAGAGAATGTCAGTCCACATTACTGATTTCAAGATAACAGTCCTTCTTTTTTGAAGGGCTTTCTTCTAAGGTCTGAGGAGAGAAACAGGTTAATATAGAAATGGCCTTTGTTTTAAACAAGTAAGTTTCATCTCTGAAGACTGCCAGACCATATTTCTCCAGATGTTTGGCTCCATTTCATTTGCATATTTTCTAATTCTTTGGTCACTTTTTAAAATATCTTGGTTAATTTCTATACAGAGCATATGTAAATGCCAGGTTTCATCCAGGTTATCGTATTTGAAATTAGTACAAGTTAACCAGAATTTATTAGATTATACGTCATAAATTAAACACGCACATTAACAACTCAAAGAAAGATGTCTTCTTATCTTTCCCTTTTACTGAGTTCAATGCGTAAAATGATGGTTATTTCAAGTTTAAAATATGTTCAGATTTTTGCATGTATATCCAATGCAATTATTAGTGTTACAGGCCCAGAAAAAAAATTAACAGGTATTTTCTTTCAGGATGGCAGCCAACTCACAAACCTATGTTATATTCTAATAACTGCAAGTGCTATACCGTTATGGTCAAAATAAACACCTCAGCAAACTGTCAAAATTTTTTAAAAAATGGGTTAAGCTAACAAAAAATATTCAAATAGTCAAATTGAAAGACATCATTTCTTAAAGCTGACATCACCTTGTTTTATACAAAAAGAAACTAACATATTTAATATCAAAGCTTTCAAATTTTTTGTGTTCCAATATTTAATCACCAGAAATTCCATAATTAACTCCACTTCACTCATCCATCCCAAAATAATAATCATTAAGGAAGTCAAATGACCATCCTTTTCCTTTTCCTCATTTTACCAAAATAATTTTACAGCTGAAAGGAATTTTAACAACATACAGCAAATTATCACCTGATCTACTAATAAAGGCTGAAAATCAGGGGTCAAAGGACTTGAATGAAATCCACCACTCCAGCAAAAAAGCCAAAATTAGATTTGTCTCCCCTGAAACACAGTCCTATTTTTCTTTGCAATCCAGGAGTTAATATTTCCTAAAAAGATAGCAGGCCTAAAAACCATTTAAACTATACTTCAAAATGAGTTTTGTTTATCAACTGCTAGATACAAATCTGGCCATTACAGTTTGCAAAGGATCACTGATGTCACTGCTTGGTCATGTACTTTCATCCAGTCAGTTTTATCTGTCTTTGTTGTTGCAGTTGTGATTATTTGTTTTATCTTAGAAATTCACAGAACATATATCTATTTTCAGTGTACAATAAGGTCAACAGTTTAATAAACCTCATTTGTCATGTAAAACAAGTAGTTTTTATCTAAGAGGTTCACAGATTTTGAAAAATTGTCCCAGGTAATTTGTTTCTAAGAAGAAAATATTATCTCATATGATTACTTCTTGCCTGATATGAATAGATTTGGATTTGTCAGAACTTTCCGGATTCTGCTAAATTAGTAGGTTTTTTTCCCCCCTGAGTCTTTTTTTAATACAAGAAGTACCAGCAGAAAGATAACTTCCACTTAAAGAATCTGGGTTATGTTTAAAAATTCTCTTAGTCTGTTTTTACAACTCTTTTCAAAAACTGAGTTATAGAAATGGAGGAGACTATTTTACAATCTTAAGCATATTTACATCTGAATCATTTTAGTCACAGGAGATACTTTCCTCTCTGAAAAGAAATCTGATGTTTTCTCCTGGTAACTAATTCCATCATTTAGTTGGCTCCATGGCCAATCAAATTTGTATCTTCTCATAATGCTGGTTAAACTGCTTTACTCTGATAAGCATCTTTATTTCCGGAGAGGTCAGAGTCATTTAGAAGGCTGGTGTTGTGATCTAATAGCTCTTCCTTGGTAAGGATCTTTAATTATGACCCAAGTCTAGTTTACCTCTGCTGAGCAGAGGCACAGGAGGATACCCTGGAATGAAGAAAGACCTAGCAGGAAGATCTTTCTTTTGCCAGTATGCTCATTCTTTAATAAACATCTATTGATCACCTTAATAGGGATATTGACATACCATTTGGATAAAAAGTTAGAAAAATAAGAAAATATATTCAGTCTGCTTATAATACATAAAGATAATTTGGAAAGACAAAACAACAACAAAAACATGTCCTTGGTGTGTGCATGGGAGAGAAAACCAGTAGATGGGAGGTAGAACTATGATAAGGGTGCTTCTTCTTGAATCATCTGAGTGCAATACTTATTCAAAAAATACAATAAATGGAATTAAAAATAAAGTCGATGGCTTTTTTTTTTTTTTTGAGACAGGGCCTCTCTCTGTCACCCAGGCTGGAATGCAGCGGTGCTATCTCGGCTCACTACAACCTCTGCCTCCTGGGCTCAAGCAATCCTCCTGCCTCAGCCTTCCAAGCAGCTGGGACCACAGACATGCACCACTAGGCCTGGCTTTTATTTTATTTTATTTCTATTTCTGTAGAGAAAGGGTTTCGCTATGTAGTCCAGGCTGGTCTTGAACTCCTGAACTAAAGCGATTCACCTGCCTTGGCATCCCAAAGTGCTGGGATTACAGGCATGAGCCACCGTGCCCGGATGATATGCTCTTTTTAAGATTGCATGTGGCAAGTGCTGTAAAAGAGGTATACAGAAGGTGTTACTGAAGAAGCACAGAAGAAGAATGTTTCTACTGGAAGAAATTTGAAAGGACTCCATAGAAGAAGTAGTATTTTAGCTAAGTTTTGAAAATGTGTAGGCATTTGTCAGGAGTCCCTGAAGAAAAGCATTCTAGGGAAAAAAAAATGCCGAGCACTAATTGAATGTTTTACAATTGTCGTGTAGCTATAATCCTCATCTCCTTTCCTTATTCCAAAAGGTTGGTATTATGTCACCATCAGATACAAGCTCAGTCTTGTTGCCAGGGATCTTATTCACAAAGTCCTAAATTTACTGTTCTACATTCCCTTACCTGCTTAGCCTTGCCAGAAGACTTCTTGGTTCTGTATAATGTGTTTAATAACCATTTTGATAACCATTTTTCCTCTAGAAATTCCTCCGTATCTCTAAACAGAACTCTTCGTAACACAACTTAGGCCTGATTCTTTTTTTAAAATTAAATATTATTATTTTTTAATTTTTGTAGAGACAGAGTCTCACTATATTGTCCAAGCTCGTCTCAAACTCTTGGGCTCAAGCAATCCTCTTGCCTTGGCTTCCCAAAGTGCTGAGATTACAGGCATGAGCCACCGCACCTGGCCAGGCCTAATTCTTGTTTTTGATTCAGAAATCATACTTATTTCTCAAATCTTATAAAACTTAATAATTTCTGCAGCTTTAAACTATCTTTACCTTACTTTCTTCTATTCATCTTTGTAATCACCTTCTGAATCATCTTTCAATTTTGTGCATCTCTCTAACTTCTAGCTCACTAGCAGAATTAAAATGAAGATTTAATCAAACCCACATATTCTGAAAAATCCAAGGATTCAAAAGCTTTAAAAATACCAGAGTATTAATTTTTCCTAGGATCAGTTTTTCCTCCATTATTATTTAATCACAGCAAATGCTGTATTTTTAGGAGTTCATATTTCTCCCCAAGTTGGCTTCACGTGTCATTTTTTTATCAATTCTCCAATTTGTCAGTTATTTTCCATTCCTGTCCTATCATCGGAGGTATTATGATTCCTTTCTTATTTGGAATCACCTGCACATGAATATACACATGATCAAAATTCCTCTATGAAAACAAAAGAACTGCTAACACAAACAACATCAGTCAGTCACACCACTACAGCAAAACACACTTTCTATTTAGGTCTATATCTGCACCCTAACCAGGGACTTCTTACCTCTACCTCCCATTCTTAATTACCTTTCCCTTAAATCTTTCTGGTAAGAATTACCCAGATAACGGACCCCATAGCAGAAGGAGCAAATTAAGGCAGCCAGGCTGAGATAGCAAACATGTCTGTCCAGTAAAGCCCACTTTAGAATGACTCCCAGCCTCCCTCTCTCCACCAGTAACTGTCTTACTTCTCCCCTATCAGTCTCTGAGCTTGTGCTTTGTCTACCTAAATTGTCCCCATTTTACCAATGAGGAAACTGAGGCTCCTAGAAGAAAGAACTTTGACTTTAAAAAAGCTGAACTTCCAACTGGCAGGCAGCCCATTCAATATTTGTCTTGTCCTTGCTCACAATGTTGTGACAGTAAAAGAAATCTCTGAAAGCAGTGTCTCAGCCCACTATGGGTCCTAGTGTCTATCCCCATCCTCAGCCCTACAGGTGCCAAAGTTTGCCTAGGAGGAACCAAAGAGCTGTCCGATGTGTGCATACCAGCTTAACACGTATGTGCCACTAATACCATCATTTTTAATAATAAAAAACTAATGCATATAAGATGGTTTCTCTACTTCAACACTATTAACATTTTAGGCCAGAAAATCCTTTGTTGTGGTAATCTGTCCTGTGCAACATAGGATGTTTAGCAGCATCTCTGACTGCTATCAATTAGAATGCCAGTAGCATTTATTTTCGTTCTAAAAACCAAAATGTCTCCAGACATTGCCAAATGTCCCCTCGAAGAGCAAAATCAACCCCAGTGAAAAACAACTGGCATATACTAAAAGAAAACTCATTACAAAAAAGCAGGTAACATTTAATGAGGCAACTCTCTGCCTTACAAAAAGTTTGTTTATCCACGGTTTAAGTGGGCTTTTTCAATTAAATAACTCTGTAGTCCTTAGTAAGATACAATACCTACAAGCCTCAGTATCTTCACTTTTAAACTGCTCTAAATCCCTCTTACATAAATATCCTATTAATGTATGGTTCTAAGTGCGTTATAGTTATTAACCGCCAGACAGAGGGCATGAAACCTAAAAACACAAAATATTAGAAACTACAACAAAGCAATGAGAAATTATGAAGAAACATTCCTGAGACTGCACTATACCACTGAAAAATATGACCACTTAAAAAATATGGCATATTGATTTTTTAAAGTACACTTATGGTCTAGAACAGTACTGTCCAAAAAAATTATAATGCAAGCCACAAGTATAATTTTAAATTTTCTAATCACCAGATTAACAAAGTAAAAAAAAAAAAAAAAAGGTTAAATATTTTTATTTAACTCAATATATCCAGATTATCATTTTAACATGTAAGCAAGTAAAAATTATGAGATATTTTACATTCTTTTTTTCATATTGTCTTGAAATACAGTGTATCCTTTATCTATAGCATATCTGAATTTGCACTAGGCATATTTCTAATGCTCAATAGCCACATGTGACAAATAGCTACAATAGCAGCCAAAGAATAAGGGCAAAGAGTGAGCACTCATTTTTCATCTTTACCAGAGAATGAAGTTTTCCACATATATAAATTATCAATAATTGAAGTTGACCTTTTCAAGCAAAATTTCTCCTTTTGTTCATTATTAATACATCTTTTTAAATAATAATACAAACCATAATCCTTTTTATTTTATTTTTTAAATTGAGACGGAGTCTTGCTCTGTCACCCAAGCTGGAGTGCAGTGGCGCCATCTCGGCTCACTGCAACCTTCACCACCCGGGTACAGCGATTCTCGTGCCTCAGCCTCCTGAGTAGCTGGGATTATAGGCTCCTGCCACCACGCCCAGCTAATTTTTTTGTATTTTTAGTACAGACGGGGTTTCCCCATGTTGGCCAGGCTAGTCTCGAACTCCTGACCTCAGGTGATCCACCGGCCTCAGCTTCCCGAAGTGCTGGAATTACAGGCGTGAGCCACCTTGCCCAGCCTATCATAATACTTTTTAAACAAAGGATTATGATAAACACAACTCATTATTTGCTTGATAATAACACAACTGTATTATGTTTTATACTCTGAGTCTGTTAGCTTTTCTGATTTCTTCCTAGATACCCAGGTGTTTTACCACTGCCAGACTAGAAACCATCAGATGAACTGAAAACTAACTTCCCAGAGCTGTCCAACTGTGCGACACCCAAAAAAAGTCAGGATTCCCTGACTTTGGCGGGGATGGCAGGTCACCTCATTTAAAAGACTGTTTCAAGCTTTGGGTTTAAGAGTCCATGTGTAAAATTCCTCTTCAACATATTCACCATTTCCCCCAACAACCCCCATGTTAGGAACAGTCTCTTTTCAGCCTTGATTCCCACTTCATCCTTTGTTTTCATCCATATTCTGTTCCCATTTAATCTAGGAGTTCTAATTGTAGGGTGAACACATGCCCTGATTTGCCAGAGAGTCGTAAGTTTACCCACTATTGTTCCAGCATAATTACTAAAATTGTCTTAGTTTGGACAATTACACAGTTACCCCATCTAATGGTCTCTATCGTTAAGTCTTAAGACAGCAGAGACTGATGACCAATCCTTGCCTACAGATGAAGGGTATATAAGATACTATTAAAATAATACTTCACCTTAATTACTATAAATATTTCTTAATGACTGTAATATTTCCATACTGCCAATCAAAGTCTGTGTCAATAAAGCCTTGAAATACAAAACTTGCTAATGAAGTAGTGAAAGACTCTGGCTGAAATTTATTCCTAATTTTAGTAAAAAGGTAAGGAGTTACTCAAAAGAAACAACTATCATTCCTTCAAAGAAAAGGGTTATTAAAGTATTCCTGCTACTACAATTCCATGTCTAAGATTTTCAAAAGGTGATCTTCTAGAGAGGCTTATTAAGTAAAGAGATGACCTCAAACATCACCCAGATTATAGAGTCCCATCTCAGAGCTAGGGGGAAGAAATTGGTTATACTTTAGAAGAAGTTTAAAGTAAGAATAGGGGTTATCTATAGTGACGGGGCAGAGTCGGAAGGTTCATGGCAAATGGGAGAAAAGGCTGGGAGGGAAAATTTCACTAACTTTTTATATTTTTTAATTTTTGAATCATGTTACTATATTATTCAAAAAATTAAATTCTAAAAAACTGATCTAAAAATCAGCCCTAAGTGTTGTAGTCGTCACACTGAACTTTCTCTAACAAACAGTCGAACTTTTAAGGGAAACTCACTATATGATTCTAGAGAGGAAATGAAGGAAAACCTTTGGAGTGGCTAGACGAGGAGGACAATGAAAATGACAAAACCATAGTGATTTGCATGAAAGTAGTTGTTTAAATCCAAATTAAAGAAAAACACATGTGTACCACACTTCTATGCTGGTTTAGCACCAGCATCACTTACCTTTCAGAACAGCAGGTTTAATCGCCATTCTGCCAACGAGGCATTCTTTCAGCATGGATTCATAATTGACCCAACGATGAACCTGGTATGGAAAATAAATGATGGAAAAGAAACATTACTAACTCCACAGGATGCTCTCATTTTAGTATGGGCAAAACTAAACTTTCTGAAATCACTCTCAACACACACCTGAAAACTAAGAAGCATATTCAATTAGCCAACCAGGGAGTGATAGGCTGCACAGATAGGAATTGTTTAGAACAGTATTCTCAAAGTGTTGGGACCTTTGGAAGTTCCTGACACCCTTTCAGGTCTCCATGAGGTCTCCATTTGTTTCATGATAATACTAATAAAAAGTTACTCACTTTTTTCCAGCATCAGAGCAATAAAAGCAATGGTGGGTAAAACTGCTAGTATCTTGTATTAATCAAGGTAGTGGGTCCAAACTGTACTAGTAATTATTATCTTCTTCACCACCATGAACAGTGGAGGGAGCATGAGGAAGATATTTAAGAATACTTAAGAATATCCTTCATGAAGTAGAAAAATTATTAATTACATTTTGACCCTTGGGTACATATTTTTATTACATTTTGTGTGACAAAGTGGGAAACTCTCAAAAAGATTAGTGTTATAAAGTATGATGGTTTCCCTGTGAAGAAACACTTAGATGACTGTTTGATTTGCAAACGGAACTGGACTTTTTTCATAAAAGGCCATTTGGCACATGTTTACCTATATAATAAACCTGCACATCCTGCACATATACCTCAGAACTTAAAATAAATTTAAAAAAGAAGAAGACATACACGCAGTCAACCAGCAGTGAAAAAAGCTCAATATTACCGATCATTAGAGAAATGCAAATCAAAACCACAATGAGATACCATTCCATGCCAGTTAGAATTGCTATTAATAAAAAGTCAAAAAATAACAGATGCTGCAAGGTTGCAGAGAAAAGGGGACGTTTATACACTGTTGGTGAGACTGTAAATTATTTCAATCATCGTGGAAAGCGATACGGTGATTCCTCAAAGAGCTAAAAACAGAATTACCATTTGACCCAGCAATCCCATTACTGGGTATATATCCAGAGGAATATGAAGCATTCTACCATAAAGACACAAGCACACGACTGTTCACTACAGCACTATTCACAATAGCAAAGACATGGAATCAACCTAAATGCCCATAAATGACGGACTGAATAAAGAATACGTGGTACATATACACCAAGTAATACTATGCAGCTATAAAAAAGAACAAGATTATATCTTTGGCAGGAACGTGGATGGAGCTGGAGGCCATTACCCTTAGTAAACTAAGAGGGAAATAGAAAACCAAATACTACATGTTCTCACTTATAAGTGGGAGCTGAATGATGAGAACTCCTGAACACAAAGAAATGAACAACAGACGCTACTTAAGGATGGAGATTGGGAGGAGGGAGAGAAGCAGAAAAAATAACTATCAGCTACCAGGTTTAGTACCTGGATGATGAAATAATCTGTACAATAAATCCCCATGACACGAGTTTACGTATATAACAAACCTGCACACGTACCCCTGAACGGAAAATAAAAGTTAAAAAAAAAAAAGAAGGGCCATTTATAAGAACTACAAGTAAACAAACTGATTATTCAGACTCAGATATTTAACAGGTATTTTCTTGAAAATAAACAAAGTGATTCTACTGCTTCCAGGAAAACAACTGATAGTATTTGTTGTCAGATGCCACTGGCGGAAATTATATTTAAACAACCTTTCTGCAAGGCACCTTCTCAATATGCCTTAAAAGTCTTAAAATAGGCCAGGAATAATTTTAAGGTGGGGTGGCTCACTCCTGTAATCCCAGCACTTTCGGATGCTGAGGTGAGAGGATTGCTTGAGCCCAGGAGTTAGAGGTTGCAGTAAGCTGATCATGCCACCCCATTCCAGCCTGGGCAAAAGAGCAAGACCCTGTCTGAAAAAAAAGGACTTAAAAATCTGCAGCTATTTTGTTGGTGGGGTAGGACACTTTGGCTTTGATCCTGGGTGTGTGCAGTAGTGTAGTCTCTATATGATTTCTTCAGGTGTAAACAGCACCAAGGATGACTGTGACTTCCTTAGTGTCTGAGGGTACAATTATTGGTGGAGGCTGAGATGAAGTTTTGCTGGTTACTAGGACCCCAGGTAGGTTAGTCTTTGGGCCCCAGTGGTGGAAGCAGAATTCACTCAGATATTTAGGAATTTACCTGAGAAAATATTTGCATGTAGATAAAGATGTAGGTACCAGGATACTCATCGCAGCACTACTCAAATTAGCAAAATATTGGAAACAATCTAAATGCCCAGTTGTAAAAGACCGGCAAAGGAAAATCAATATATAAAGCTATTCAATACAATACTATATAATCATTAAAATAATCAGCCAAAAAATACTGATATTGGAATCTTTATGGCATATGCCAGAGTAAATAAGCAAAAAGTACGTAAAGTATAGAAAGAAGACAGTTGACTACAGGTATTTCGTACTTGCCTCCACTAAGAACCAAGATAATGAATTGATAATCATATTCTGAATACATCATCCAAGAGAGAACACTGAAATTCAACAGTAAAGTGACAGGAGTTACGTAAAGCAAGAAATGAAAAGGAAGTGAGGCAGCCTACAGGGCTGGGATCAGCTGGGAGCTGAAAGAGACTCAGGTTGGAGAACTTTAGCAGTCCACATTCCCACCATGGACTCCTGCAATCTTAGCCACAGAAGAACCCTTTGACCCTTGCAGGCCCTGACACCAAAAGAGAGAGCTGCTAGGAGATTGTGTGATGGCACTGCTCCAGGGAGGAAGCTTGCACTGGGTCTCACAAGCTCCCTGAGACCTAAGCAGCTACAGTAAACGGTCATTTCAGAGCCCTAGCCCCAACAAACTGCACACCGTACTAGAACCCAGCAGCACCCAGACTGAAGTGCAAAAGAAGCATGGCTGCTGCCCCAGGAGTTTAGGTTCAAGGAACTGCCAGCTACTGCAGGCAGAGCTAAAAACAGAATTACCATTTGACCCAGCAATCCCATTACTGGATATATATCCAGAGGAATATAAAGCATGGGCTAAGGCAAGAGCAAGTCACCAGGGCTGAAGAACAGGTGGTACATTCACTCCCCATCCACTGGCCTAGGCTGCCTACCACTAAAGGCATCACCACTCTGCCCAGGGGCAGAGTATCACCACAACTGCTGTCTCCCTCCACCTGAGCATTCCACTGGTAGCCTGGGAATTGCTCCTGCCTACCATGCCTACCATGGCTGGCCTCACCCGTCTCTGCCTATGTCACAGCACAGTTTGAGGGCCAGGAGGTTGCCCAGCCCAGTCCAACACACTGGCATCTGAACACTCCTCCCAGGGGCCTGAGGTTGGATATACCAACCTGGCTGCTACCGTCACAGCTAGTACCTCCTTGCACATGCCATCTCAAGGGTTAGAGACTGGCCTGCACAGCCCATAACAGCCTCCACCAACATAAGCGTGTACCACCTGGGACCCAGAGGTCATCCTGCCACTGCCACTGTCATCACCCATGCCACACCACCTGCCCAGGGGCCCAAGAACTCATCCACTGTTGCCACTACTGGGATCCAACTAGGCCACAAAGAGGCCCAAGAATCAGCTTGCCTTGATGCAGTAACCGTGGTGCCAGCATATGCCATCCTGGGGCCCAAGGAGAGACACGCTTAGCCCACTGCTCCCACCACTGGGGCCCAAAGACTAACCTACCTGGGGTGTTCTAGTAACCAGCAAAACTTCATCACCGCCTCCACCAATAATGGTACCCTAAGACACTAAGGAAGTCACAGTTATCATTGATGCTGTTTACACCTGAAGAAATCATATAGAGACTACACTACTGCACATACCAGGATCAAAGCCAAACATCACAGATATATTTACAGGAAAAATTTCTCCCATATGAAATTTAAAAAAACTGAAAAAGGGCCAGGTGCGGTGGCTCAGCACTTTGGGAGGCCAAGGCGGAGGATCACCTGAGGTCAAGAGTTCGAGACCAGCCTGGCCAACATGGTGAAACCCCTTCTCTACTAAAAATACAAAAAATTAGCCAGGCGTGGGGGCACGTGCCTGTAATCCCACCTACTTGAGTGGTTGAGGCAGGAGAATCGCTTGAACCCAGGAGACAGAGGTTGCAGCGAGATGAGACTGCACCACCGCACTCCAGCCGGGGCAACAAGGTGAGATTCTGTCTCAAAACAAAATAAAACAAAACAAATGATATACAAAACACATTCAAAAGCAAATTATTATTTGATCTAAAGAGAGAGATAAACTCCAACACAATAATAGTGGGGGAGTCCAAAATCCTATTCTCAGCATTAGACAAAATCCCATTCTCAGCATTAGATGGATCTAGAGAGAAAAATCAACAAACATTGGATTTAAACTGGACTTCAGACCAATGGACCTAGCAGACATTTATAAAACATTTATCCAGCGATTGCAGAATACACTTTTTTTTTTTCATCAGCACATGTAACATTGTCCATGACAGATATATGTTAGGCTACAAAACAAATCTCAACATATTTTTAAGCACTGAAATCCTCTTGAGTATATTTTCAGACCCCAGTAAAATAAATAAATACTAACAGGAACTTTCAAAACCATACAAATACATGGAAATTAAACAACATGCTCCTGAATCACCACCATTCAGTCAAAGAAGGAATTAAGATGGAAATAAAAAAAATTTCTTGAAACAAATGAAAATGGAAATGCAGCATACCAAAACCTGGGGAAATATAGCAAAAGCAGTATCTAAGGGGAAGTAGCAATAAATGCCTACTCCAAAAAAGCTGACAGATTTCAAATAAACAATCTAACAATGTATCTCAAGGAACTAGAAAAGCAAGAAGAAACCAAAGGCAAAATTAGCAGAAGAAAAGAAATAATAACTGTCAGAGCAGAACTATATGAAATAGATTTTTTAAAAAAGATACAAAGGATCAGTAAGACAAAAAGTTGATTTTTGAAAAGATAAAACAAAATTGGTAAGCTACTAGCTAGAATAACCAAAAAAAGAGAAGACCTA